TGTCAAGAATTGGTATCAGTTAATAACTGTCTTATCCAAGTGACAGACTGTTCGGAGGCGTGTGCCTCTGGTCTCATAAGAGATTGAACTTGGACCTGTTGGGTTACAGAAACTAAACGTCTTTAGTTTGAGTAGTTCTCTAACCGCAACTGGTTAGTCACGTATACTACTATGGAACCACCAGCTATCGGTTGACATCTTCAGTCTAATAACAGTCCAGTTGTTCAACCCAATCCCCATTAACTAGACATGGCAATTATGATAACATGACCATCAGGGATGAAATAAAGGAGCGACTGATTCGAACAAGAAACTAGAGATATGTTCTGTTTTTAACACCGTGACAGTGTTATCCACATATCTCCACCATATCTTTGAAGTAGGATAATAATAATTTTTGCTTTATTCCAGAAACAGTACTAATGATACAGAAAGGAATTTTCAGCATTCAGTACAATTTTGCATCTAATTTGCTCAAAACGACACAAAAATGAACATTACACAATAATAATAACAAAACGTTTTTGTAGCAGCTATGTGGCAATTACATTATGCGATAAGGAGAAAAATATGCAGCAAGTATAAAGTTGTAGTAATAATAGTAATAACAACTAAAATAAAATCGCTCAGTTATAATTAAACGATAGAAAGGGTGACACCATACAATTACAGAAAGATGAACAATGAAAGGGTCGATTCCCTTTGCTAATTACGTAGTAACTTATATGTTTCACGTCTAACAGTGTCTTCATCACATAAAATACGGGCTAAATACGGTATTGTAGAATTTTTGTACTTAGTGGTTCGAGCATATAACTTATATTGAATTCTTGTCCTACCTGATGAGATGCAAGGGGATAGTTGTGAATAAACGGGGTGCAGGGAGTCTGAGAGTATGGCCTTTGCCCATTTTGTACAGGATTTTATATGTCTGTCGACTATAGTATTGGCGAGCTCACGCATTGGTATACCACAAGCCATACTCACAACATTAAATACCCTTCGTAATATGACATAGTCTTTTTTTGAGAAGCCAAGGAAAGATTATTGAAGAGCAATAGAGTACAATATGTAAAATGCAGGAGTTTACAAACTGCAGAAGTAAAGGTTGGTTGATACCTGATTGTCTTAACTTTTTAATGTAGAAGGTGGGACGAGATAAGATAAGATGTGGGATGATTATGAAAGGTCAGAGGAAAGAACTAATCCAAGGTATTTAACACTTGGTTTCAATTTCAGTGCCATCTATGCTATAGGCATCATGGCAACTAACTAGATCATGTATGTCACGTCGATGCTTGAAAGTAAAGTTAACTACCTGACATTTGGAAGGATTAAATGTATTAGGAGACACACACATACACTCACTAGTAATAGGAATAAAATTCACATTTATGTGAGAAAATGAACAAGGAGAATCAGCTGTGATGTTACATTGTAAAATAGAAAGAACAGAAGAAGAACTGCAAACCAGCATTTATAAAAAAGCAGCGCATTCCATTGGATATTTAGACTTTAATTCGTTTCATCCGTTAACTGTTAAGGCAGGCTTAGTTAAATGTTTAACAAACCGAGCAGTAGCACCAAGTAGAACAAAAAAGACCTAAATGATGAGGTGAAACAGACCGAAGAAGCGTTGGTGTTAAATAACTATCCTTTAAAATTCACTAGGAAGATTGAAAAAGGCCAAAAGAAAAATAAGAATAATTATGAAACTAGTAATGATAACATAAATAAGAGAGAATATAAGTCATCTACAGTTCTACCATATAAGGAGGGGATACCTGAGACCTTCTACGTAGTAGGATTCTTAATAAAGCAGGAATTAGGGTGGCATTTAAACCTACAAACTCACTCAGAGACAAGGTCAAAGGACTCTGTAGGTTAAAGGACTCAGTTGGCCTAAATTAGACAAAATACCCTGCAATAACTGTGAGTGAGGTGAACTGCATAAGTCAAACTAGTAGGTCGGGGTTTTCCAGATTGTCGGAACATAAGAATTTAGCTAAAGTAAGAATGGTCGACCCCGAGAAGATAAGTAATTTGGAAGAAAGCTCAGCACTACATTGCAATGCATGCATTAACAGACAACCACACAATAGCATGTTGGGAGCGGGATAAAATTCTAAGAAGTAATATAAGTAGGTGGAGAGAGACATAGGTTGATTACTGAATCCTTGTTCATCAAGTCTACACCCAACACACGCATTAGGAATGACTCATCCCTCATACCAGGAATTAGGAAAATACTACTACCAATGTAATCAAGCGATGAAAAAATAATGGAATTAAATAAACGAAGTTAGGAAGTTGTGTGAGTGACTACCTTGATATTGGGATTATGAGCAGTGATAAATTATGCTCATAACATGGTCATCAGTAAATATTACTGTATGACACCGTGAGACTTTATCAAAGTAAATTTTCTCCATAATGATTTTTAAACTATCCAGAAAGATTTCAGAAATCAAAAAGAACATCTCGTATCATAAGCACTTCATATTAAATGGAATTTAAAATGTGTGAATAGAAATGATGGACCAAGACATAATTTCCACTTGTTCCAACATCCTCGCCCATGAACTGACAAAATCAACACAAATACGACAAGCGATTTCATTATGTAAAGACATGCTGTTCTTATAATTTCATACGCATATGAGATCTAACAATCTACACATGATTTTGTTATCTTTATCATTTGACCAGCTTGACAACCTAAAAACACTTTTCACCTAGTGAAGAACGGTGATCAAGTTATTGTTAATAAGTTGAGTATTTTAAAATTCTGGTTTCATAATACTTCAATAAAAATGATGGCATCAAATGTTGGAATATCAGTGAAAACAAAATCGTCCTGTTCTTTCATTTATTGAGAGATGCAAAAACTTTCATAATAATAGATATGATTTAACACAGCGCAGAGATTTCAACACATTTTTTTCCAATCTTTGGAAAGAATCTTGAAGTAGCATAATAATCTACATTAAAACAATCGACGTGTGCGTCAGTGACACAGCGGCAGAATGCTCGCCAACCACGCCACACGTGGTCCGGGGTTCGGTCGCCGGCCGACTACGCACTCCCTTACCTCTCTACGCAAGTAACAAGATTGGTAAAGAGGGAAGTTTGGGCACAAGGCTAGCAACTTCATCCCGTAAAAATAAATACCACTGCCACCGAAACTTCACGCCTATAGCTTTAAGTCCTTTGTCCCACTGGGAACGTAAGGGAGTAAAAAAAACTAACAATCGACAGAATTTTATTCCACCTTAAATCTGCTGTTACTCTAGACATTTTCATCCGTTGAAAAAATACCCATCAGTATGCTGAATGCAAGCCTAAAATACAGGTGGGTTCATCGCGGAAGCAGCCCTTTGAAGTACCCCATTAAGTTGAGGGAGTTGATGAATACTGACTAGTCAAGCTGACTGATGGCAATGTTAGAATGCTAAATTAAAAGTGTTTTACAGTTACCATGTGTAAAACTTATTAGGGATGTTACTTGAAAACGACACACGTTGGACAAGTGGGAGACTCTATATTCTTAACTGTATGTGATTCCCTCACTGTCTTTTCCTATTTGGTTTGACGTAGGTTAATCGCAAATACTGAAGTTATATCGTATTTTAGTTCTGCTCATTAGGACAGAAGAGAGGAAACAAATAATGGCTGCCAAATGTCATAGATTGACTAAGCAAACCACTTAATTGTAATCTTAAACGACACCTAGTTGTATATCTTGCCAGTGGCGTCCGACTCATCTGCAGCCCTGATGATCTGCAGAAGCATTACACTTTTCGAAAGAAATCTGTATGCGAAACGGATACCCACCAAGACTGACTGACAAGAACATAGCGCTGAGAATTCAAAGAAAGGAGATGTCATTCGTGCCAAAAAAGAAACTTCATGCGAAGCTTAACTTCAAAAGTCACCTACTCATAGATGTCCTTAACAGAAGAATTCTTTAAGGAGACTTTTCATCTCAGCAACCGTGGGAGTAGTGTTCCCCAGCCTCCCACTAGTCTGTAGAAGTCTAAAGGACAACATCTTACATCTAACCACTTCTGTGTGCATATATCAGTTCACTTGCTTTTGATGAGCCTGGTGTATTGGCCATTCGACGAGTATCCTGTCTAAAAGGGTTCAAGAACACCATCCTGCATGGTTGCAGATAGGTGGTAGTGGCTCTATAAGGAGCGTTATAATCAAACACTTTGTCAACACTGGTCATCCTCACCCCTCAGACAAACTCCTCCTTCAAAGGAATCTACAAAGAGAAGAATAATCTTTCAAAGACGGGACGCTTTCGCCTCCCTTGCATTTCTATAGCCTTAGCCATTCAGATAGAAAAACCAGATTTATGCGTGCAAAAGAAAATTATTCAACCACTCATTTTAATCATGGTAACAATTTTTTTGATTTCTACTGACTTAATTTTTGTTTATTTGTTCATTTTTTTTAACTCCTTGTCACTCTTGCACTTCTTTACTACTCTTACATAATTCCATATTTTCCTTCGTTTTTGTGTACATCCTTATTACAACTCATCTAATTGTTGGTTTGCAGGGATTTGATTGGTTTCAGGATTTCATCATGAGGTGACATCATGAATCGGCAGACGTTGGAATTCTTGAACTACTGGATCGGATCTCAGTGGCTTAATGGTCTATGAGCTCACCTTGTAACCAGTAAGTCCCGGGTTCGAACCCTGACCATGGGTGCGCACTGCTGGAGTTGTATATTTATTTTTCATATCTATTCATTATAAGATACTGAGATGTCCATAGAGGATACCTTTACTGAGCGTCCTGTTCTTTCCTGTCCAATGCCTTCATGGATATTTTAGTCAGTATTGCTTTGGTCGGTGAACTGAATCCAGTCATGAAATGGTGTGGTGTGAGAGTCGTGAGATTCAGGACAAGTAATCTCTAACAAATAGATATGAAAATAGACACCTTAAAAAAAGCAAAGGAGAAAAAACACATTATACTACTTACAATACCGAGTTTCACTGCAAGACTCGGTCCGAATACAGTGTACGCCGCCTCAAGAGAACCAGCTGCAGCAATCAATAAACACGCGGTTAAGCGTATTGGTTTCGACGCAGGACCTTCTGAACCTTTTAAAACATGACAAGACTTTGAAGAATTAGCTCCTTGTTCAGAAAATCCTTCAGTGGATGACTGGTTTACATTGGCCTTTATAGAATTCAAAGGAACTGTCGAATGTACTGTGATGTATAATTCGATAATCGATGAAGAATTTCCAGGAGTGTATAAAGGGTTGGAGAATGTACTTGAGTTGACTTGATTTGATATAGGAGAGTTGTTAAAATCAATATTATTATTATTATTGTTATTACTGTTGTTTTCAAAGGGTACAGCTGACTGATCTGAAATACTCATTAATCTTTGTACATGATCTTTAATAGTGGATAACTTCAGGATAGCATGATCTCCTGAAAGAAAAGAAGAAAGAAAAACATGAAGTCATCAATAATCGTATTGAAAGAATCCACTTTGATTAATTTTACCAGGAAGCAAATTATCGATTTTATCACTGAAAAGAGTAGTTACTTACAAAACAGAGTGGAAAATCTGCTTAGAGTTACTCAATCCATAGTTCTGACCCATTACATTCACAGTGACTGGAAGAGGTAGCAGTTATTTTCCAGCCGGAATACTTTGCAGTAGTGGATGAAAGCATCGGTGGTTTAATGGTTGAGTACTTGACAATCACGAAAGCGGTCCGGGTTCGACTACCGTCTGACGCACTTCCACACCTCACCTAGCCTACAGTAAGTTTGGTAAACTGGGGAAGGTGAGGCTAGCATTCCCACTATATAAAACCAATACCTTCACTAATGCAACTTTAAAGCCTGAGACTATAAGCCCTGTGTTCCCCTCGAAAGGCGACGGAATGGAGAAATGAAAGGAGATAGACCATAGTGATCAAGAGGATCAGTAAGTCAGGTCTATTGGTAACTAATGTCGTTTTCCTCTATCTCATGGAGATTATCATTATCATTGTCCCCTTGGGTTCCTAGTGGAACATAGGGCTTCAACTGAACGTCTACACTTGCTTCTGTCTTCTGATGTACATTTCACCTGCATCCATGGTATTCCATACTGTTTCAACTCCTCTTCACACGATCTCCTCCATATCACCCTTGGACATCCCACTCGCCGCTTCCCTTTCGGGTTCCACTCGACGGCCTGACGCGCGATGTCACCAAGCAGCCTTCTCAGCGAGTATGCAATCCATCTCCACTTTCTCCTGCATATTTGTCGGGCGACTGGTTCTTGTTTTGTTTGTTCACATAGTTTCTTGTTGGTGATTCTTTCCGGTGGCCATCTGATCTTCAGTATAGAGCGAAAACAGTTAGTTGTTGATAAAGGTATGCAACAGGCTGTTGGAAATATTCTTTGTGACCCGCCGCCAAGTTTCTGATCAATCCGTTTAGAAGAACTGACTGATTTGACGTTTGTATTGAAAATCCGAATTTCGTTGTTGATGCTGAGTTGAGTGACGAAGATTTCCAGATTGGTTTCAGGTTGATGAATGTGTTTCTCGCCTTCCCGATTCTCGATTTGACATCCTCGTCCGTTCCATGTGCCTGTAGTTGAGACAATGCTCCCTAGATAAGTGAAGTGAAAGAAGTAACCTCTTTCAAATCCCTCCCGTTGATGGTGGTTGGTGCTGGATGTTGTTGTTGGTTGGTAATTTTCATAACCTCCGTCTTGTCTATGTTCACCTGGAGTCCTGTCTTTGCTGCTTCTTCGACCAGTTTTTCGGTTTTCGCTTGTAAGTCTTCGATTTTGTGTGACATCAAACATAAATCATCCACGCGCGAAATCCATGTCTTCTAGGTTCTTCGCGTCGGTCCAGAATATCCCTGTCTTCTCGTTTCCCACTGTCTGACGCATAATCCAGTCCACTACAATTAGGAATATCATTGGTGATAATAAGCACCCTTGTCTGACTCCTGTGTTTACTCCAAACGCCTCTCTGAGTTTTCTGTTGTGGATCACTTGACATGGGCCGTTGTCGTAGAGCTGTTGAATAAGGTTGATGAATATTTGGGGTACGTAGGCCGTAGTACTCGAGTAGTTTCCAAATTACTTCGCGGTCAACACTGCGCTGTCAAAGGCCGTCTGAAAGTCTATAAAGTTGAGATTAGTTTTATTTATTCTCAGGGTTTATATATGTATAATTTCGATAACAGAATAGAATTTCTTAGTAAATTTCAACATGGATGTGGTTAGTAATCTTGTCTAATGGACTATAGTGAAAACTAATGGTCTGAATGGAACAGTATACAATATGTCAGCAAATACAGCATGAATTATAATTACCATGTTTATGAAATACTGTTGTTATTTGCAAGATGAGAACTACTGGGGTTTTAATCCTGCTCTCTGCGATGACATACAGTCTTATCTTTGATCTGATTTGAAGATGTGGATTACTTAGCCTAGGAGCATTATATAAACTCATGTTCCCCCTGTGATTGTAAATTACATCGTCCAATGGCAATCCTTTAAGGGAAAGAAACATTGCTTTTTAGCACACAGTCATTGGATTTCATATATAATCCAGCTGCATAGACAGTGAAATTATTTTTACAGTGTGTAACCTCCACGAAGTGTCACGAGCTTTGGAATTATTAAAAAGACGGTTGCAGCAAGGAAAATGTTTCTTTTCAACGAAGTCATCAACTAAGGTTGTACATTCGTGTGTTTATGTTAAATGTATAAGAAAGTTGCAGAATTATTTCTGGTCAAAGGTTAAATTACTAAGTGTAATAAACCATTCAACCAGCACGTGAAAGACAAGCTACCGCATTGGAAAACTATTACATGCAACAACAACTAGTTCACTTGGTCGTGTGGAGCCGTTTACGTTGGTCTTATCGTGTGTCCACTTGTAAAACGCCCTCGACAACACTATCCAGCATGGTTAGCAAAAAGAGAACGCAAGTGAGTGTACAGTACGGTAACAGAGCCTCTCAGGTGAATTCTGGACATTCAGCTTCATTTGAAAAACCTTTAAAAGTCATATAGAAGATCCTATCAAACCTACCAAATGGAGTGAAATCAGGTCATCTAGGAATATCTGAGGCACTGGCGATCTAAAAACTCAAGCCCACTCTATTGGTTCAAAACAAATACGTCCAACCATTGTTCCTCTACCATGGCCATCATGAAAATAAAGTAGCTGCATACCACTCTTATCAACCAGCATTGCTCGGTAGCCAGATCAAGGCGATCTGAACCGTTCCGCTCATTCGAGACCGAGCTCGTCAGCTGTGTGCGCCTTTTGACTCAGCTCAGAGGATCAAATCAATTCAAACCGCCTGATTTATGACTAGGTAATTTAACAACAACAACAACCAACACCGATCACCATCAACGGGAGAGATTTAACAGAGATTGATTCCTTCACTTATCTGTAAAGCATCGTTTCAACTACAGCCTGTCGGAACAGACGAAGATGTCAAAGTCAGAATTGGAAAGGCTAGATACGCACCCCTTTATCAGCCTGAAACCAGTTTGGAAATCTTCCGCACTTAGCATAAGGAGCAAGATCCGCATTTTCAACACCAGTGTGAAGTCGATGCTTCTATACGGGTAACAAACTTGGCGTTTCACGAAAACGATTCCTAACAGCCCGTTTCAGACTTTCATCAACAGCTGCCTTCGCTGGCTCCATACTTAAGATCAGATGGTCATAAACAATTAGTAACAAGAAACTACGTAGTGGAACAGACCAACCAAGAGCCAATCGCTCAACAAATTTGTAGGAGAAAGTGGAGATGGATCGTGTACACATTGAAGAGGCCAACGAATGACATCACACACCAGGTAATTGCTCGAGTGGAATCCAAATAGGAAGCAGCGAGTGGGTCGTCAGTTTGAGGGTGACATGGAGGAGATCGTGTGAGGAAGAGATGAGAGAGTTTGGTCAATCGTGGACCCAACTGAAGAGGACAGCAGAAAACAGAACAAAGTGGAGATGTGTTGTTGAAGACCTATGCTCCACTCCGGACTCAAAAGAATAATAATAATAATAATTGAGCGAACTGGTGTTGCCATAAATGAACCACAAATTACTATAAATTTCAACATAGTTCCCTTTGGAAGCCAAATTATACCAAATTTCATCCTTGTCAAACTTTTGAGTTGAAAACTGCTCTCCTCCAACAGTGTCCTTTCTCTTGCTTTGATTTATTGTTTTTTATTTCATTTTATCTTCGTCCTAACGGTTTTAGCCACATTGTTGTACAATTTACACCCTTCATTCTTGCAATCTCCCAATACTGTCGAATTTTTTATTGATACTGTTCGGACTTATTATTTGTGATACTATCTCTTTTCTTAATATATGACTGTTTCATTTTACACATTGGTTATTTCACCATAGTCTTACTACCTCTTCATTAATGGGTACTATTTTGTACTAGCCACTCACTTGATACCTTTTATAACCTTGGACTGACCTGTCATTTTTCATTCCCCATATTTTATGAACGTATTATGATGACTAATCAGCATCATCGCTTCGTATCTCACAAAATTTTGTAATTCGATTCAGTCTAGCATGTTTTTCACTCAAGCATTTCGTCCCTCTATAACTAATCTGTTATTCTACGTAAAAATGTATTCTCCATGCACCTGACCGTTATTGTAAAAGTAAATATTTTTAATTTATATTTGTCAGAACCTGAAAAGAATACTATTCATTCAGGATTGACTTCTTGTTTTGAAAAACGCCACTTCCATGGAATTATATTGCCAGTGATAAGTTTGAAGTTATTCGACCTGTCAATTGACAAAAAGGCATTTCGATGAAAACTCAAGTTTATGGTTTTGAAAGATTGCAAATTCGACTACAGTTAGAGAACCATTACAACCGAGGAAGTACAGGACAACTGTTGTGTCCTTCTCTGGGATTATTAGATATTTTATTGCCGGCAGTTAACTTTAACAACGAATTATTGATTTAAGGATAAAACTTTGGCACTGTGGTAGAGTATAACTCCATTATGCATAAAATTTTATTTTGATAAAATCACACAGTGTATTTATTATACAGTAATATTTACTGATAACCATATTTCTAGCACAATTTATTGCTACTCATAATCATATCAAGGTACTCACACAACTTTCTTGCTTCGTTTGTATACATCAGTAAAAATTGATTAGACGTTTGAATAAAACTAATATAAGACATGCGTGAAACAGAATAGAAGATAAAGTACTTTCGGAACGAATATTAGTGTTGTCAGTGAAATACAACAGGACGGGAAGCAAGACGAATGTTGTTAGTCAATAAGATGGGAAATAAAATGCTTGTTACAGTGTCATAAAACGAATTGAAATACATTTTAACATTATTTATTATCCTCCTCTGATTTGACTGGTAATAACATTTTCCATATCTCTGGTATTAGCGATGATGAGTCACTTCTGTTGCATGTGTTAGGGGTAGACTCGTTGAACCAGGATCCAGTAATCAATCTCTCTCTTTTTCCACTTACAAATATTACTTTTTAGAATTTTGACTGTGTCCCACCCATTTGTGTGGTTGTGTTAATGCATGTACAGCGATTGCTGAGTTTTTCCTAAATTACTTCTTCTTATGTTCTGATAATCTCACTACTCCTGATCTACCAGTTTCATCTACGTAGTTGACCTCAATCACATTCATTGCAAGGTATTTTGTAAATTATATTATTTTGTTTTACTGAGTCCGCCGGGTCTTTTAGCCTACAGAGTTTGTCCCTGAGTGACTTTTTACGTTTAAATGTCACCCTTTATTGAGAATCCTACTTCGTAGGTTCTCAGGTTTCCTCTCCTTATATGGTAAAACTACCGTAGATGCCTTATATTATTTGTCATTTACACTATTATTATTAGTTTCACCATTATTTTGATTTTGACCTTTTTCGATTTTCCTAATTAGTTTTATTGGATAGTTATTTAACACCAAGAATGAATGATATATGGGTAATATTTTAATTAGAATTTACCGCCTAAACGTTACATAGTAGATAAGATAAACAAGTCTGTGTATAGTTTCCCCCCAATGATTGTATAGACTTACTTGAAGCTCCTTGTAACTCCATAATTGCTTGACCATTTAAGCATACAGTATATCCTTGAACAGGCAGACTACTACCAGCACCAGCAGCTGTTACAGCATCTGCTGCACCTTTATCCTGTGGAACTGGAAGCCAAGTGATAAGCAGCATTCCATCTTGAGGTCCAGCCTCTATCTGTACATGGCTGGGGGGATCTGGTAAACCTAAGAATATATATACAATAGAATACGATATATTTATACACTCAAATTGCTTATTTAAAATTGAATGTTTTACAATATAATTTCTATTTCTCTTTACTGCATTACCGCATTAAACATTGTTACGGTATGGAGTAAAGAGTACGGTATTATTATTGTTTCCTTTAATTCCTAGAGGAACATAGGGCTTCAGCCGTGCGTGTCCATTGAGTTCGGTTCTCTGTTAGAGTCTTCACCTGCCCCCAAGTCTGCCCACACGTTTTCATCTCCTTTTCACATGACCTCCTCCAAGTCACCCTCGCACTGGCGACCAGCTCACCGCTTCCCTTTCGGGTTCCACTCGAGCGATGGCTTGTCTAGTGATGTCACTTGATGCATTGTTTCCTCAGAATATGGCCAATCCATCTCCATTTCTTCCTGCACTTTTGTTTCACAATCGGTTCCTGATTGGTTCGCTCAATGCCAGAGATCTCTATTGCTGATCTTTTCTGGCCGGCCATCTGATCTTCAGTAGTAGTATTGAGCGAAGACAGCTGTTGATGAAGGTTTGTAGTTTGTTTGAGATGCTCTTTATGACGCGCAGTGCAAGTCTCTGATCCGTATAGTAGCACTGATTTAACATTGGAGTTGGAAATTCGGATCTTATTTTTGATGCTGAGAGTTGTTGACCTCCACACAGGCTTGAGAGTGGTGAAAGGTTGTCTTGCTTTCCCGATTCTTGTTTTGAAATCCTCGTCAGTTCCGTTCGCCTGTAGTTGAAACGATGCTTCCCAGGTAGGTAAAAGAGGTTGTTTCTTTCAGGTTCTTCCCATTTATGCTGATTGTTGTTTGTTGTTGTTGTTGCTGCCGTTGGTGGTGTTGCCCAGGAATCTTCATCACTTCTGTTCAGAAACTTCAGCACGATGAATCTCCTTGCGCCAAAAGAGAACGCTATGCGTCTTGAATATTTGAAAATTTTTATACATTTTTTTTGGTTAACAGATAATATCAGTCGATCTGTATTGGTACACTTGTAGATTTTCAACTACTATTCCCGTTTAGAACTGGCGAACTAAATATCCTCCCATTTAGATTGCCTGCTCACATTCATAAATGACAACTAAAGGATGAAGCGAAAGCGAAATAGGTGCATTTTAGTGATAATGTCAATTTTCTCAACAAAATTAATTTATTTCAGGTTTGGAAAGCAAACAATATGAGTCTACATATAACAGGTGGTGCTTAGTGCAACAGGAATGCGATTCACTATTCATCAGTTCAATATTACAAGTGTTACTTAACGAATGATTATTAGCAGTGGAATCCAGGTTACACGCTTCATTCTACTTGGGACTTGTAAGCTAATGGGTGTACCTTTATTATTATTGTTCCCTTGAGTTCGTAGTGGAACATAGGGCTTCAACTGCACATCTTCACTTGCTTCTGTCTTCTGCTTTACTTTTCACCTGCATCCATGTTAGCCCATACTGTTTCAACTCCTCTTCACACGATCTCCTCCATGTCACCGTTGCACTGACGTCCCAATTGCTGCTTCCCTTTCGGGTTCCACTCGAGCACTGGCCTGACGCGCGATGTCACCCAACGGTCTCCTCAGTGAGTGTTCAATCCATCTCCACTTTCTCCTGCATATTTGTTGAGCGATTAGTTCCTGTTTTGTTTGTCCCCATAGTTTTTTGTTGGTGATTCTTTCAGGCCATCTGATCTTCAGCATAGAGCGAAGACAGTTAGTTGTTGATAAAGGTCTGCAACAGACTGTTGGAAATATTCTTTGTGACACACTGGTCAAGTTTCTGATCCGTATAGAATAACTGACTGAATTGACGTTTGTATTGAAAATCCGAATTTTGTTGTTGATGCTGAGGAGTGACGAAGATTTCCAGATTGGTTTCAGGTTGATGAATGTGTTTCTCGCCTTCCCGATTCTCGATTTGACATCCTTGTCCGTTCCTCCTGTAGTTGAGACAATGCTCCCTAGATAAGTGAATGAAGTAACATCTTTCAAATCCCTCCCGTTGATGGTGATTGGCGCTGGATGTTGCTGCTGTTGTTGTTGGTTGGTTATTTTCATAACCTCCGTCTTGTCTATGCTCACCTGGAGTCCTGTCTTTGCTGCTTCTTCGACGAGCTTGTCGGTTTTTGCTTGTAAGTCTTCGATTTTGTGTGACATCAAACATAAATCATCCACGCGCGAAATCCATGTCTTCTAGGTTCTTCACGTTGGTCGGTCCAGGATATCCTTCTTGTATACCTTCAGTTCTCTGAAATTGTCTGTGTTTTCATTGAGACTCGAACCCTGCGTCCATCACTTTGAAAATCAAAGCGGTATCCATTATAGCAAGACATTCATTTGTTGTACAATGGGAGTGAGTCACTTATTATTTGTTTAAGTTAATTTTGTGTTCCCCGTCTATTGATTTTGCTTGAGCAAAATGTTTGGTATTCGTTTACATGTTACCTCCTAATATGGAAGCTTCCACCATATCTGTGGATTAGCATAATGTGACTGTCATGATGGAAGTGACAATAGTTGACCGCTACAGGTGATGCTCTCAAATGTAGTTTAAAATCTCCACCGTCAGTTCAGCTGTAAAGATCTTCCATGAAAACATAATGAGGGCTTCTTGGTTAAAGCACTCAGTTAAGATAAAACCAAACAAACAAACGAAACCACACTAAAAAGAAACCTTATCACTTGTTGTTGAAATGCACTTAAATCTGATATGTCTAATGACTTACTGAATTAATTTTTGGTTATAAAAACAATAACAAAAAAAGAAAGTTGAAGGGAAACGCCTGAATGAGAAATCAATCAATATTTTCTTCTAGCCGCAGGCATTTGATGTAGACATTTTGATGTTCTGGAGAAATAAATTCATTTCACTGCACAAAAACAGGACAGACATGTCTAGGTAAACTTATTCTTTATTTTAGGTATGGATCAGTTAGTTTAACTTTTTCTCACTTAGTGTATTTTTATAAGTGAATGCTTCTTTTACTAGTATCTTGAATGCTAATAGAACTCTCTAGCTAAACACCAATACAATGCGCAACGAAGTGCATGAAAGTGTATGCAGCAAGGGATACATGTTATATATAGTCTTTCAGGCATCAGAACGGAGCAGGAAAGCGAAAGGATAGTGTCAACCGAGGAAATGGCTACCGACCTATAGCATTTGTTGAATATACCGATGATTTAGCCATTTCTATTCTAGTAGTTGTGAGTAGATTCTTATCTGGAGTTAACAAGTGATTTCACCTAAATGGTCTTAAACTGAGTTCATCTATATGTCACATTGTTGGCTTTTAGTTTCAGATGTGAGCAAGATTTGCGCGGTCTGATTCTGTCGCATGATTCCTGTATTGTTGACGGCACTGTGATGGGGAGTGAGTCGAATATCTTTCATCTAGGGATAAGTTTCTCTTCGAATCTCTTTTGGTCGTCTCATAGCCTGTTGACTTCTAAGAATGCTATTTTTCGTTTGACTTATCACGTAAGAAGAGAGTTAAGACTTTCTACTGACACAACTCAACCTCCCCTCTTCTCTTACATGTTGCCGATTAATAGATTCTGGCCATTCTACTGCATTATTGTCCACCCCTACTTATTCTTCCCTAGGCTTATCAAAAATGACTATATTATATCGTATTACGTAGAACGCTTAAGAATATTAGTGTCAGTAGGCTCTTCAATTCTTGCAGGTAGTTGGCTAAAGTTATCTTGTCTGATACCGAACATTCTCTTTAGTAATTCGCAACTTTTGCTTTGTATATATCCAGGGGTGCAACCAGAAGAAACTTTACATAGAAATTCTACCATATCATATTTAGCATGGGTTTTTGTGAAGATTCGAATGTCATAACAGAGCTTGTCAACTTTTTAAATCAGTGAGTGGACTGCAAAGTACAAGCAGAGATTATTATTACATGTACTGTCTATGCTACTATCTACGTATACCTCAGTATGTTTCCACCATGATTCTGTAAATAGTGGTTTCATTTTTAGCGTAATTATTAATATTTTAAATTTTATTGATCTAAGCACTGTGGTAGAGTATAACTCCATTATAGATGAGATTTTATTTTGATAAATCACACAGTGTTGTTATACAGTAATATTAACTGATGACCACGTTTCGAACACAAACTACTGCTGCTCATAATCATATCAAGTCACTCACTCACTAACACAACTGTTTACTTCATTTATATACATGAGTGGAATTGATGATTAGACATTTGAATAGAAATCAGCCAATATAGGATAATGTACATTCAGAAATAATAATAATAGTATGAGTGTTATTCATCAAATACAATCAGATGGGAAATAAGACGAGTGTTTTTATGGTCAAAATAAATAAGTAACTTGTTAGAATGTTATGATGTGGGTGAATTGAAATAGAATTTTAAGATTATTTATTACCCTCCTCTGATTTGACTGATTGAATGGTGGTAATAATATCTTCCATGCATATCTCTGGTATTTGCATTGAGTCATTTCTGTTGCATGTGTTGGGTGTAGACTCAATGAACCAGGATTCAGTAAGCATGTGTTGGGTGTAGACTCAATGAACCAGGATTCAGCAATCAATCTCTCTTTGTCTCCACCTACCTATATTACTTCTCAGAATTTTAACCCGCTCCCACCATGCTATTGTGTGGTTGTGTGTTAATGAATGCAGTGCAGTGTAATGCTGAGCTTTTTTCTAAATTACTTATCTTCGTGGAATCCATCATTCTAACTTCAGCTAAATTCGTACGTTCTGATAATCTGATAATCACAGGTCTACTGGTTTGACCTATATAGTTGACCTAACTCTGATCAATCACTGCAAGGTATTTTGTAAATTATATTAATTTGTCTAATTGGGTCCACCATGTCTTTTAACCTAGAGAGCTTGTCTCTGAGTGAGTCTGTAGGTTTGAATGCCACTCTAATTCCTGCTTTATTGAGGATCCTACTACGTAGGGTCTCAGATGTCCCCTCCTTATATAGTAAAACTACGGTAGATGCCTTATATTCTCTCTTATTTATGTTATCATTATTAGTTTCACCACTATTGTTTGCTCGTAACGTCATCAGTTTTTAAATTTTATGTATGTACTTGTTTATAAAACGAGCTAAATTGTGAAAATAAGAATGAAAACGCTTAAAATTCTATTCAGTATAATTATTACCCTTTGGATTAAATTGATTATTATGTATATTTAAAAGTGGACATTTGACTTATCGTACAAGATTATAATTTATTAAAGCGTGGCGATTAATGATTCTGGCCTAGATTCTTTCTCACTTATACTACGCTTTCCGTGAACGGATAGTTTAACACCAGCTGGTTAAAGCTTATACCTGAGTTCAAAAAGTATCATTAGTCTTTGATTCTCTCTTCAAGAAGTAATGAAAATCAGATACACCGTTTTGGAGAAGATCATGTAGAGTAAGCAGTTATTGGCCGTATTTTTCACAACGCAAAAATGAATTGCAGTCATGAAGACTAAGTATGCTTTGAACAAGTATACTGTAGTTCTCGCAATAAACTAGCGTCATTTAAAGAAAAGTGCGTCGGTGGCACAGCGGTAGAATGCTCGCCGACCACGCATATGGTTCGGGGTTCGACCCCTGGCCGACGCACTCCTGTACCTCGATAAGCCAGTAATAAGAATGGTAAAGAAGGAAGGTTGGGCATGGGGCTAGCAACCCCATCCCGTAAAACTAAACACCACTGCTACCGAAACTTCAAGTATCTAGCTTGAAGCCCTATGTTCCACTGGGAACGTGAAGGAATAACAATTTAAAGAAAAATCAATGAACCAAAGTTGTTTCATCCTAGTGTGGTATTCATCTGGAGTGTGTACTGGATGAGGAACAAACAAATAGCATGAAATAGCTTTAACGCATTAGTGATAAGGAGTTAGTCATGAAATTAAATAGTGCTTTAACGAATTTGAAATACACCTATATACGGTCTAAGGTACAGATGTTATTTTCTTTCTCGTTTTCGAAAATTCTATTAATTACATCAACTAGAGAAACGAGCTACACTAGTACCACCCAGTGGCTCACAAACCCCTCAAAGGCATAGATTTAACAAGTCGAAAATGTTTCAAAATCATTACTGGAAAATAGAAAATATTGAGACCCAATGTAAACTCACCTATAGGAAGTGTACGAAATTCAATGAAAGCGGCTAACTTTTGTGTATATACACCACTCCAACTAGCATTGATCCAAGGTGGAGGTTGTTGAACAGGTTCAGGAGTACTAATCGGTGATGGTAAGGCTTGAACACAAACCTGATGCAGGGTATCTGGAGGTAAATCTGTTTGCAGAAGTAAATGAATAAAAGAAGACAAGAAAAAAAGAAATGGATCAAAGCGTTGACTACTGTCACATTGAGAGATATTCTTAGTGTTATTTGTGTGTATCCTGCTGGTTGTCGAACACTTCATTTGGTGGCTGTCTAAACACAAAACTCAAGTATGCATAAGCGATAGTGCATGCTATTCTCCCACAACACCTATAGTCTATTAAGTAAACATTCATTTGAGAAAGACCTTTAAGAATGATTATTTACGGAAGGAATTTGTGTTGGAATCATCATAAAATACTTCCTCCGGTAGCATACTACTTCTCAAATTGGTCAGACCCACGATAAAATGAAATTGTTGAGGGATTATGCCGAGATTTTTAGCATTTAAAGACTGAATGTGAAAGACATGAGATTCAGTTGCACACGGAGAAGTCAGAATTCATTTCAATGTTAATTTTTCGAGCCATCTCTGCATTTCAACCTGTCATCCAGTGTATATTGTAGAGTTATGTTAACTGTGCCATACTTTTTGTGGTAAAGTCATGGTTTCTCCCTCTATTAGTTCATTTGTTTATTTGAAATATATAACAAAACAGTACATTACTTAAAAATTCAAGAATTATTTCATTATGGTCTTACACCACAATGACAGGGACCATCAATTTTACTCCGGAAAACCATTCTAATCACTACGGAGACTTCAAAGCACAACAGAAGTTTAAAAAGCTCACTTTTTGCTGGAATCTGGGAGACGAAATGACGCGGGCTGGGGAAGGACTTCAGGAAGCTGGTGTCTTCTTTCGATGAAACTGAAAATGAGCACTGAGACATTTAATGTTTGCACAATATACGAAACTGTAAAGACCACCGAAGAAATGAAGAGATGTGTAGTCGAAGTGACAGGGCAGGTGGAATGAATGTGGACTGTCAAAACTTTCAACTGGTGAGTTAGTGATCTTCTCCAGTGTGGTCAACCAGACGACAACCATGAGCTCGCTGAGGCAGTGAGTGGCTATCATGATGTCATCAACAGCATTATCATAGAACAGAGCAAAGAGCAGCATCGTTTCAAATTCGGGCAGTCGGCATGGACAGAGATGTCGAAACCAGAATCAGAAAGGTGAGACAGATCACTGTCACTCTGAAATAAGTTTAGAAATCTGCTCCACTACGCATAATAAACAACAAAATTAAGATTTTCAACACTAATGTTAATTTAGTCAGTTATTCTATATGGGTCAGAAACTTGACGAGTCACACGAAGCATTTCCAAAATGTTGAAAATCTTTTTAGAAGGCTGCCTTCGCTGCATATGAAGGACCGAAAGGCCGATGGAAAGAATTAGCAACAAGGAACCCACTAACCAAGGACCTATTGTTCAATTAATATTCCGAAGAAAATGAAGACGAATTGAACACACTCTATGGAGACCACTGAGTAATATCACGTGCTAGGCAAACCATGGATCAAGACCCGGATGAGGAACGACGAGTTGGATCTTGGTCCAAGGGTGACATAAAGAAAATTGTTTAGGGAGGAGATGAGAGTCTCTGGGCAATGGTAGGGCCAACCAGGCAGGAGTGGAAAGAGTAAAACAGAGTGGAGGTGTTCTTTTCGAGATCTATGTTCCAGTCGAGCAACAAAGGAATAATAATAATATAATAACAATACTTTTATTATTGTTCCCTTGGGTTCCTAGTGGAACACAGGGCTTCAACTACACGTCTCCACTTGTTTCTGTCTTCTGCTGTACTTTTCACTAGCATCCATGTTAGTCCATACTGTTTCGACTCCCCTTCTTACGATCTACTCCATGTCACCCTTGGACGTCCCACTACTCGCCGTTTCCCTTTCTGGTTCCACCCGAGCGATGGCCTGACGCGCGATGTCACCCAACGGCCTCCTCAGCGAGTGTCCAATCCAACTCCACTTTCTCCTGCATATTTGCTGGGCGATCGGTTCTTGTTTTGTTTGTTTGTTCCCATAGTTTCTTGTTGATGATTCTTTCCGGCCATATGATCTTCAGTATAGAGCCAGCGAAGACAGTTGTTGATAAAGGTCTGCAACAGGCTGTTGGAAATATTCTTTGTGACACACTGGCCAAGTTTCTGATCCCCGTATAGAAGAACTGACTTGACGTTTGTATTGAAAATCCGAATCATTTTGTTGTTGATGCTGAGTGATGAAGATTTCCGGATTGGTTTCAGGTTGATGAATGTGTTTCTCGCCTTCCCGATTCTCGATTTGACATCGTCGTCCGTTCCATGTGCCTGTAGTTGAGACAATGCTACCTAGATAAGTGAATGAAGTAACCTCTTTCAAGAACTGACTTGACTTTTTTAATGAAAATCCGAATTTTGTTGTTGTTAATAACAATATAATAATCAGATAATAATACGAATAGCCTTGCTGTATTCAGTCCTTATGCAGTTGAAGCATCTAACGTGGGTAAGTATCAATAATTGATGCTGAATTATTTGAGATTATTGAAAGTTTCTCAGTATCCTATTGTTCTACTCATACTTTTTTTGCCGTTTATGTCCTTATTATTATTATTATTATAGGAGTCATAATGTCAACGATAGAAATCAATCCTTATCTCTAACTTTCCCTTGAAATTATCTTAATAATAATGAGGTGAGGTCACTAACAAAAAGTCTCATATTTTATCTTCAACTTAATCTCTCTCCATCTTTCTCTCACCCTCTTACACTTAGCCTACTTCTATGTAGCAATAATGGGCATAGTTTTGCCAACTTTGCAAATTAAAAATGAGTTTCTTTTACGACTTTTCGACACGTTTTCTAGAAAGACGGAAACGCTAATCCATTCATTAACCTCTACAGATAATTTAGCTGTTCTACTCTAATAATCAATATGTATATGACCTGAATGCCTTAAACTGTTAACCAGTCGATGTTTTTAGGGCAAGTTTAATAATAAAGCAATATTAACTAGAGAACTGTTAGAGAGTAGGGCTCGCCAAATATCTGTAATTTTAGTAAAGCAAGAACAACAGTGGCGGTTTGTACATAATAATATGCTACCATCCTTTGTTTATTTCGTTGGCTTCTCATCAGCCCAACTGCTTACAGCCTAAATAAATTATGAGGTTTATGTAGAGAAAAGTTTTAACATGCTTGCAAATTTTACATGATGTCAGTTGACAGAAGGTTCCACAATTAGTGAACAGTGCTCAGAGAATTGCGCTCATATAGTTTTTACACAGGCAGTTCAAGTTTAAACAAAGTAAATGTATGCATACAATGGTGAAGGAATTCAAACGCCTACTACTGATGTGTACCACGGGTGTACAATTCCAGTTTGACAACACTCTTTACCGACAAATAGATGGTGTAGCTATGGGCAATACACTTAGACCGCTTTAGAAGATATCTTCATCTAAAACCTTGAGAAAACAAAGTTGAAGCATGCAATCGATCAAACAACTTCCTATTGTCGATATGTCGATGACACATTTGTAGTATGCAACAACGAAAGTCATGCCTCCTACCTACTCAGCCTATTCAACAAAGCACATACAAATATTGAATTTACTGCGGAACATGAAAATAATGGAATGTTCCATTTCCGTGACATTGCCATGCAAAGCCTGGAAGATGGGAGTCTCCAGAGATCAACTTACCGAAAGCCGACATGGAACGGACAATACTTACATTTTCATAGTTTTTGTGCAAATAGCTATAAACGAGGACTAGTCAAGACTCTGCACTGTACAGAGAGGAGAATATGCTCTGCAGAGAAACTAGAGGAAGAATTTACGGTTCTCGAAAAGGTGTTGAAAAACAACGGTTTTCCTCAATGATTCACTAACAAATATGGAAGATGTGAAGGCTCAAACATCAAACAAATCACAGTTTAAGAAGCCTGTCTTCAATCAACTAGATTTGAAAGGCGAAAATATTACAACAATAGTCAACAGAAGATTGAGTACGTCATTAGCCAGAGCCTTTCTTGCAGCTAAGTTGGTTCCGGTCCGTCGAACAACATGCTCTTTGGGGCAGTCGAAAGTCAACAAATACACCTCTCATGTTAACTCCATCTGTGTATACAGATTTACGTGTATCCGTGGGAGCAGGTACATTGGGAGAACAGAAAGAAAGGCACACCTCCGATTTTCTGAACATGTGCCGAAAAGCCTACTTCTCAAAGTAACAAACTTTTATAATAACACTATTACCAGACATCTCCTCTATACGGGTCATTAGGTGGAAATCACAAAATCCTTCAAAATTAGCAACAGACAAAGGATCTCGATTCTCCTCACGTTTGCCGAAGTAATTTCTATCAAACGCTTGATTTATGTGTTCAGAAAGAAGCAGTTATTAGTCTTCCCTTGCCCTGGTAACTGGATGTCTTTATTCTCTCATTTGATTACCTAATCTTTGTCTTTAACCTCACCTGCCTTCCATAATCTGTTATTTTGCTTGTCTCTTGAAGCTATGATTTCAGTTGAACTCAGTACCTTGTTACCTAATTTATTAATCACTCTGCATCTTACGCATCTCTCGTCTTTATTACATAACTCCTTTACCATTGTATGCCTACATTTATTTTGTTTAAACTTGAACTGCCTGTGTAAAAACTATATGAGCGCAATTCTCTGAGCACTGTTCACTAATTGTGGAACCTTCTGTCAACTGAAATCATGTAAAATTTGCAAGTATGTTAAAACGTTTCTTTACATAAACCTCGTAATTTATTTAGGCTGTAAGCAGTTGAGCTGATGAGAAGCCAACGGAATAGACAAAGGATGGTACCATATTATTCTGTACAAACCCCACTGTCGTCCTTGCTTTATTCAAATTAATCTAGGGGATTAAATGCATGAAATATTTGTAAGCTTTCCATCTCTTTCAAAATCATTAGACTATGAGACAAATTCTCAGGTTTTCATTTGATTTTTATTTAGAAATAAAAGAGGTTTCTGACGAAGTTTACTTTGGATTTGACCAAATCTAGTTTTTTTCTTTTTCAGAAACATCATT